ACAATAGTGCACGGGCAGCCCCTCCTCAGCCCTCCCCTCCGGCTCTGCGACCCGCGGCGGTGAGGACTGCGGCTCCCTTGTCCTCGGTGACTCTGCTGCGAACAGATGTAGGCTGCAGTTGGACGCCCCTGACCACCCCTTCCCCAGACTCCCTGAAGACCCATCTTCACAGGCGCACCTGTCCCTGGCTGTCGCGACAGCGCTCTGCTGGAGTGGGATCCCAGCGTCCCGCCGGAGCGGGCCCCGGGTACGCCGGGTACGGCCTCGCCAGCCGAGGGGAGGGTCATCCCGCTGGCCTGGCGGAGCAGCCTTCTCCCAGTGCGGGCAGCGCGTGGTTTGCTTGCTCTGGGATAACAGAGCAGCTCTGCGGGAACACGTCCCGCAGTGAGGTGCTGCTGCTGTGAAGGTTGCTGAAGGGTATTTGCTGATGAAGTCACTGCGATTTGGGCTTTCAATCTGCGTAGTGTCTGGATCCATAAAACGAGCACTTGCCAACTGCTCACATGTGAAGAACAGCAAGAGACAACTTCAGGATAGGGAAAAAAGCCCTTTTTAACAGAAATGTCGACTGTCTGTCCCTTATTTCATGCAGGTCACAAGATCTGTGATGAGAAGAGTTACTAAGGCCGGCAGTGAGGAGCCCAGGACTGCCTAGATCAACAATTAAGAGATAGGGGAGGTGACATCTCACCCCATGCAGGTTGTGGGTAATGGTCAGAGAAGAACTTAACAGTCTTGCCTCTCCCTGGCTTTTGCCAACTGGCAGGCCATTAAGGAACATGTATCTCTTGTCTCATCCACCTCTCCACCCCCCAGCATCTCCGTCTTGTCCCACTGCCCTCCCCAGGTTTTAAAAAAATTTCACTGCTGTCACGGCAAGGCTGGTCTGGCAAGGTGCAGAAACTACTTCACGGACCATCGCAGGGCTAGGGCTACAGAGGCCAGCCAAAAATAGATCACGGTACCGTGTCAGAGCAGGCAGGACTTGGGAGAGCGTTGGCCGATCAGTGGAGCCCGGCTGTCAGTACTGAGAGGCCAGGCTGCTGGGTGGGAGCGGACATCGTCGGATCTGGGGATTTGGGAACGGACAAAGCAGGAGTCGAAGTGAAAAACGAAGTAGGTAGTGTTAAACCTGAAAGGGAAATGAGACTGGGAAAAAAGTCTGTCAGCCGGGTTCATAGTGTTGAAATATAATACCCCTTTCAACATAAAGTCTAGTGGTCAAGTTTCCCGTTCAAATTTGTTTTCATTTGAACACAAGTGATTTTGTGTTCAAACATAAAACACAAAACATAAGCCTTGCTGATTCAGTGCTCTGTCCTGTAACTACAGCTTCTGTTTTGCGGTAAGTCTCAGGCTTCAGTACACTTGTGGCAGGTTATTTGCATTTTCACAATCAAATCTCTTAAAAAATTTAGTAAACATTAAAATACACTGAGATAATTGTATATCAGCAGGCAGAAAACCAGGAACATTTACAGTCAATTCACTCATTTTGTTGTCTGTAACTTCATACACAGAAAACATTATTTTGATATAAATTACTGATGTCAGAGTGTAAAATACGAAAGAAATGTAGTTTAAATTAGGTCGGTCAACTTTTGAAGCATTGGATAGATTCAACTCTTGAACCAGTTTCTAAGCCTACTCCTGATTCATGTAACTGGGATCATTTTCATTGACTAAGAGTATAATTCCATGAGCATTTTCTCTGCTGGCAGTGAAATAACACAGGCCGCTCTTTCTCCCATGGGTTAAACTTCACTGATCCACATGGCACCATGGTTCTTAGACTGAGGCCACTGTGGAGGATAGGGCATTATGACACAAAACTGGGAAAAGGGATCAACTTCTCAGTGTGACTTTGATCCTACAGAAGATTTTGTGGAAATCTATTCTTAGTAGCAGGAACATTTTACAGCATCTTTGAATTACATTTTGATTTTTCTTTTTACTATTTTTCTCCATTAATTGGGTCAAGTGAGATCTCCACTGAGAATTTCATTAGCTCATAACTCCTCAAGTCCCATCACATCTACTTAAACTGCTTTTGTTAATGTGTTTGGTCACTGAGGTTGAAAAAAGAATCTTACTACTCTGTTTGAAATTCTCCCTGAATTCAGTGCAAATGTCACGGTCGAATACAGTGGCGTGCAAATAAAAGTATAGTGTCTTCCTAAGAATTTCTTGGGGCATCTGTGTGCTGCCTTGTTTTTCTCATGTGTTCCAAGTAAATGGCACAGAATTACTGACAGAACTCTTTCTCAGGCCTAAAAAAACCCTCTCAAGTCTGAACACACAAGTTAGTTGCTTCTTTTCTAAGATGGATTCAGAGTGTAACAAACAAGAAGGTATTTTCCAAAGATAAACAAATCTGTTTCCCGAATGTCTCAAAGGATGACGTGCACCTTCCCTTGACTTTGATAGTACACACCAGTCTCGCTGAACCTACATATTTTATTTCTTACTTAAGGAACTTTATTCAGTGGTACAACTGATCTTGAAAAACCCAAGTTCATATATTCTCAGAAAGTGCAAAAATCAACCCGATCTACAGAGTAATTCAGTATTTACATTTTACCTTAGCAGAACTATTTTTATTATCTTTGTCTATTCCACTGCAATTCACTCTATTCTGGGTATGGAAAGTCACATAAATTTATTCTGCAATGGTTCGCAACTGTGGAGCATACATTTGCAACATTAATTGGAATTCCTTTTCTTAATTAAACTACAAAACAAATCCAACAGAAGAGACCAACAAATATCACAAAACCATGTAGATTTTGAAAATGTTATCACTTCCTGCCCCATCCTTCTAAAATTGCAAAGTTCCCAGAAGCAAAGTCTGATCCACAACACAAGTCTCCACAATTCAGTGTCCCATAATCCTCGAGCCCAGTCTCTAACCAGAGTTTCTCTCCCTCTAGTCCAAACAACACAATCTCTAACGCTTTCACTAATCAATTTTTTAGCCAGCCCTATAATCCATATTATTTCCCAAAAGCACAATGAAGACATTTTTGTCACTTGGGTTCAGTTGCTTTAAAAGGTTAATTCATAGACTGGAACTAAAGCGTAATGTCACTAAAAAACATACGTGTATTATAATTTTCAAGAAACATTCAAATATGTGTATACCTCTGTGACAACAGTAAAACACTCAAAAACCCCAGAATCATAAATGTACTGGCACTTTTAGAAAACACCTGCCACTTTGTGGGAGCTGTTCGGGTTATGTCTCCAGCAGTAACTCTACCTTTATCTTCCATTTCCCAGTGGCAAAATTCCCCTGGTTACAGGGTGAAAGAAAACCTCGTTTTACAGTTGTTCCTTAGCTAGCCTTCATTAGCCAAAGTATGTGGCTATTCAGTGGGCTCCCTTGCAAAACCCTAAGATGAAGCAGAATTGAAGTTGTCGTGAAGGAGCTTAGACACCTCATCAACAGCTTCATGTAAGGGATTAGACTGCGGGAGCACCAGAAATCTGCAGGGTCAAAGCCACAGGGTCGGCTGCTCATAAGCCTCTTGCCAACCAACTTTCTTGTTTAGGAAGCTGGTGTTCCCAGGAGGTTCAGAGCGTGGCAGTTTGGTCCTCCGGGTGACCAGCGGACAGTTCTGCTGAGCAAAACGTGCTGTATTAATTCAGAAGAACCCATGGTGGAGTGGCTCCATGCAGTTTTTCTGCTCTCACAGGGAACTCCGCCACAAAAGTTTAGTGAAAAGCATCCTCAGAATTCAGCTTCTGTGCTATTCTCCCTTTCCCTCCCCAGCACACAAGCCACACTCTCCTCTCCTTATTAGCATCCCACCCACCTTCCCCTAATCCAAGCAGTTAACTTGAAAATACACTTGAGCAAGCATTGCTACAAGATCCAATTACTAAAAAATAATAAAGAAATGCATTATTCAGCCAGCATCAACAGCCACAAAAACCTTAAGCATCCAGATGTCGATACTTGAAGAGGGTGATACTCTAGTGCTCCAAAGGACTTGCTTTCATCTCCCGTGCAGTGACTCAGAGGACACACTCGGTTCCTACACAAGCTGAAATGCACAACCCTGACTTCTGATAAAGATGCACGCAGGAGAAAACTGTATTCTGTATTAGCCATTGTATAGCAGAGCGAGGGTAGAGCTTTACGCTAGAGAGCTCAGAGGGTGCAGGAGGAATGAGGTGGCTGAGCAGGGCTGTTCACACGCCTGTGTCAATGCAAGCCTGTACATATATGAAGAAAAACAGAGGAGCTCATGAGAGATGGATTCATATGATGAAGTACAAATGTTCTTTGGGGTTATTTGAGTAGAGGGAAAAAGGGAGATGCCACGGGGAAATCAAGTTGGAGAGTTCCCAGACAAGTTGTTGCTGTTCACTAGGAGAGTGCTTTTTTCTAGAGAGCTCTTCCCTTCTGAGGTGACCAAAAGGCTGTGGGAAGTTGCTGGTATGAGAAACAGTGAGCAAGTCATTAGCAGTCTGACTGGGGAAACAGGGCTCTGTAGAAGTTAGGGCGGGTCCAGAGGAGGGCCACAAAAATGATGAGAGGGATGGAACACCTCTGCTGTGAGGAAAGGCTGAGAGAGTTGGGGCTGTTCAGCCTGGAGAAGGCTCCAGGGAGATCTTTCAGTACTTAAAGGAGGCTTGTAAGAAAGATAGAGACTTTTTACCAGGGCCTGTAGTGACAGCATGAGGGGCAATGGTTTCAAACTGCAAGAGGATAGATTTAGATTGGACATAAGGAAGAAATTCTGTACGGTGAGGGTGGTGAAGCACTGGAACAGGTTGCCCGGAGAAGCTGTGGCTGCCCCCTCCCTCACGTGTTCAAGCGCAGGCTGGATGGGGCTTTGAGCAACCTGATCTAGTGGAAGGTGTCCCTGCCCATGGAAGGGGGACTGGACTAGATGATCTTTGAAAGTCCCTTCCAACCCAATCCACTCTATGATTCTGATTCTAAGTACCGAGAAAGGCAGGTTTTTAAAACAGAGCCAAGGGAGAGCCTGGAGTAAGTTTTGATGGAGAGGAGACTCTAAATGCTTGTTTCCAGCTCTCATAATTAGTAAACTCATTGCATCATCCAAACTTTACCTTTTATCAGTGCACCTTACAAACATTTTCTCTGCAGTGTGTCAGAGGGTAATTAATTTACTTCATGCATTTCAGAATTTAAACATGGAAAGAATGTATCTCATTTCTCATTTGGGATGCTGGATTATCTGCACATTCATGCAAACGCCACATTCATTTCTAATGGAAGACGAAGACTAAAAAAAATTACACATTTTCAGTTAGC